AAATTTTATGTTGTATGTATTATATGTATTCCAACTCTGTGTTATGGTAAATTTTACTAGAGTTTTTTTTTTTGTTGTTGTTGTTGTTTTTTTTTTTGACGGGGTTTTTCTCTGTCCCAGGCTGAAATGCAGTGGCACAGTCTCGGCTCCCTGCAACCTCCACCTTCTGGGTTCAAGCTATTCTCCTGTCTCAGCCTCCCGAGTAGCTGGGATTACAGGCATGCGCCACCACACGTAGCTAATTTTTTGGTATTTTTAGTAGAGACAGGGTTTCACCATATTGGCCAGGATGGTCTCTATCTGCTGACTTCCGCCTGCCTTGGCCTTCCACAGTACTGATATTATAGGTGTGAGCCACTGCGTCCGGGCTACCATACTATTTTTTTGAAAAAAAAATTTTTAATTGTGCTTTAAGTTCTAGGATGCGTGTGTAGAACGTGCAGGTTTTTTACATAGGTATAAACGTGCCATGGTGATTTGCTGTGACTGGCTTATTTCACTTAGCTAATGTCCTTCCAGTAGCAATAAACAGTTATGCTAGCATGTGCCAGAAGTTCCTTTTTTTGTTAGGCTGAGTAATACCCCACTGTGTGCCTGTACCACATCATGTTGACCCATTCATCAATGGACACTTGGGTTGCTTTTGCCTTTTGGCTGTTGTGAATAATACTACCATAAACATGAGTGTACAAATACCTGTTTGAGCTCCTGATTTCAATTGTTATTATTACCATTATTATTTGAGACAACATCTCAGTCTGGTGCCCAGCCTGGATTGCAGTGGCACAATCTTGGTTCTCTGCAGCCTCGACCTCCCAAGGCTCAAGCAAGCCTCCCACTTCAGGCTCCCAATTAGCTGAGACTACAGGCTTGCGTACCATGCCCAGCTAATTTTATCTTTTTTCTAGAGACAGGGTCTCGCTATATTGCCCGGGCTGGTCTGGAACTCCTGAGCTCAAACGATCCTTCTGTTTTCACCTCCCTCAGTGCTAGGATCACAGACGTGAACCATCACACCTGGCGCCTGCTTTCAATTCTTTTTCCATGCTTTTTCTGTAAAGCAGGATTACCATCTAACTGCCCTCCTGCCCCCAGCTAGAGATGCAAATGATTTCTATTTGGTAGAGGATAACACTGAAGGTTGTAATTGTATTGACTCAAGGACATTAACCAGTTTTCTTTCTTTTCTTTTCTTTGTTTTTCTTCTCTTTTTGACAAAGTCTCGCTCTGTCGCCCAGGCTGGAGTGCAGTTGCTTGACCTTGTCTCACTGCAACCTCCACCTCCCAGGTTCAAATGATTCTCATGCTTCAGCCTCCCAAGTAGCTGGGATTACAGATGCCCACCACTATGCCTGACTAATTTTTGTGTTTTTAGTAGAGATAGGGTTTCACCATGTTGGTCAGTCTGGTTTTGATCTGTGGACCTCAGGTGAACCACCTGCCTTGGCCTCCCAAAGTGCTGGGATTACAGGCGTGAGCCACCATGACTAATTGCAACCAGTTTTATTTCTAACCTAACAATTTTATTATAACATTCTTTTAAAAATGTTTATAAACACTTAGTTTCCTCCAAATGCTCTTTGGACCAGCTTTACCATCTTACTTGGTTCATCATTAATGATTAATAAATCTCTGATACGTGTTCATTCCCCCCCAAAAAATTGACTTCGTATACTTGATTTCATTGTAACTAAAACAAGTTTATATGTAGGTCCATTTAAAAACCTGAAATCTTTCTGAGACTGTTATGGAACTACCCTCCTGATTTAAGTTAATTTCATATAATATTTTTCATGATGTGTATTTACACAACTGCATAGCATCTTAGAGCTGGAAGAGACTATAGCAATGTGAAAATAAATGAAGATCAAACAAAAGAGACATGCAAAGGCTATTTATTCAGAGCTTGTATTTGGCAAAGACTCAGAAGCAGGCAGAGGAGTAGAAAGGCTTTATAGGGGGAAATGTTCAATTAAATTTGGCCTAAAGTTGCCTCCATATGTAGTGAATTGCAACCTAACTTAGTATGTAAATAAACTTATCATAAGAGTATATTATTGTAACAAATAGCTGAGTCTTGGCCAATCATAGCAGCCGAGTTTTCAGCCAATCACACACTGCAAACTGCCAAAACGTGTCCAAATAAGGCAAAGGCTGACCTGTAATCAATCAGGATATTTCTATTTGTCATTTCTTTTTTCTTTATATAAATATTGCCTGACCAGGTTGCTGGGCAGAGATCTCTGAGCCTTTATTTGTTCAGGGTGCTGCCCAATTCACAAATCATCTCTTTTTATCAAATAAACTCAGCTAAATTTAGTTTGTCTAAAGTTTTTTGTTTATCAACAATAATGAAAAAGCTTTAAGTGTACCTTGATTAGGGACTATTAACTTGGGTAAGCAGCAGGTCAGCTAACTAGAAATGGGGCATCCTATGTGTTTGGTTAAAGGTGTATATTTGGTTTTCCTCAGTTGGCCCTAATTTGGAAGCTGGGGAAAAAATTGGGGAAGCTCAGTTGTTACTCAAGTCTTCACTGTTTGGGGCCGATTTTTACACGGGTGGTTGTTTAGCTTTTAGGATTAGTTCCTAGAGATCAGGTTCTGCTCTCCACAAGTATGTCTGGTACCTCGTAGGTTGACTTCCCAAGCTAATTACTGTAGATACTAGGCTAGAGTTCTGTTTCTAAATATGATCTGGTGATTTTCCATTTATATAAGACTCTTAATGATTATCTAGTCTAATATAGAAAAATTAAACTTATAAAGTCCAAATGACTATATTTAACTGAATATTACTTTTTATGTGTGTGGCACTTTTTAGTTTTCAATTTTTAAACAGTAGAATGTTACCAGATTTTTAAAATAAAACAAAGGAAGTTAGAGGGATATAGTTTTGTTTTGTAGGTAAGAAAATTTAGGCTCCCCGAGAGGTGAAACCAAATGCTCTATCACATGGGTCACATCCAGAGATGCAAAGCTGAGGCCTCTGAGGTTCCTGACCTGACTGTTCATTATATGACAGTCTATTCTATATATGTCCCATAGACTCAGATAATGGTGAACTGAAGTGTGACATTTGTGTTATCTCGCTGCTGAAAGTTGATAAGGATTTTAACCCAAGTGTAAACACCCCACAACTTCAGATGTTTTAATCATTTCTGTTATTTTTTTTAAATGCCTTGTTTGAATTAAACTTTTAACCTGGTGAATTTTACAACTTGTAATTATTAGATAATCAGATTTTTGAAAATACTATTAGCTCCATGCCATTTTAATACACTTATTATCACTTGATTTTTTAGTTCCTTTAGGAATGTTGTATTTCCTACACAGATTAGAAAGATGTGTGAAGAGCTGAGAAATCTGTAATATAAATAAATTAAATTAAAAATTCATTGAGCAATATGATAGGTGGTGGGGTTCAACCACTTTAAAAGAAATACAAAACAAACAAACAAAACCTAATACCTGCCTTAAAATTACTCAAGGTCTTTTTGGAAGAGCAGATACATAGAAATATCTTATAAAAGCAAAGTCAGTGCAGAGATGCCCATGACCCTGCAAGAGCTATGGTATGGGGGGAGGGCTTCAGAGGATACTTAAATTGAGTAACCAGGGCTGAGTAGAGTTGGTTAAGCAAAGAAAGACAAGACATAAGGATATTCAAAGTAGGGCAGGTAATAGCTGTAGAAAACAGCATTGTTTTTATTGGGGGTGGAGTAGGGAGGAAGAACCTATAACTAATGTAATACAGGGAGGTTAGCAGGGAACCACAAAACTAGTAAAGGAAAGAACAGGAAGACGGAGATTCCTGCCGATGATGTTAAAGAGCTTAGACATCCTATGGGCAACAGGGGACTTCTGGAAGCATTTTATTCAGGGTTACATTATGATCAGATTTGCATTTTCAGCAGATCATTTTGGTAGTATAAGGAGCTTATATTTTGAGGAGTCAAGGAGAGAGTCAGAGACAAGTTGCAGTAATTCAAGTGAGAGGATTAGAGCTGAACCAGAGCAGTTGAGGCAGACCTGAAACACAGTGGAAAAGAAGGGAGAGCAACGTATCCAGAAATAAAATCTACAGAATCTTCTGATTAATGGATTTGGGGAGTAGCACTTAAAGAAAGGGAGACAAACTTCTAGCTTGGACAGTTGGTTGGACAGAAAGAACGAGTAGTTTAATAAGAAATTATCAGTTCAGTATCTGAAATGTTCAATCTGTATTACTTATGGGGACTCCAGATGGATTCATCCAGCTGGCAGTTGGATAAATGAATCTAAAGATAAAATGAATGGTCCAGACATCTGATAAAATATTTAGAAATCACTAAGAATTAGATAATTGCTAGCTGAATCCCAGAGGACAAAAATCACAGAAAGAGCATGTAAAATGGGAAGCACGGTGGCTAAGCTAGCACCTGGGAAATGACCAATGTGCCAGGGAATGAATGAAGGATGAGATGATACAACTGACAAAGGAAAGGTGTTATAGAACACAACACAGGAAGATGGATCATCCACAAAGCCAAGAGAATTGAAGATATAAACGCGTGAGTAATCAAAGAACTGTCAAATGGCTGAAAGAAACAGGCTTATAAATTTGTCAAGTAAAAGGCACTAGGTAATGTTATTAGGAGCAGATTGGATAGAGTGGTTTGGCTGAATTTTTATAAAGATGAGAAAGTAAAAACAGTGAGTGTGAAGTGTCCTTTAATAAGTATACTCAAAAATGAGCACAAGGGAAGACTAACTAAAGATTCATTGAGGTACTCTCTTGAAGAGAAAGAAAACTGTAGTTCCCAGAGATACTAACCTACACAACTCAGAAAAAAAGGCCCCGTGGAGTCTATGTGTCTGTTATATCTAAATGTTGTAGTCTCCAAGTCTGAGTTTCCAACAACCTATTGAGACAATTTTAGGAAATCACACTAATGTTTTAAAAGCAATTTGGGAAGAACTTTACTTTTGTTTAACAGACTCTAATTCTGGTTACTACACAGAATCAACAGAGGAACTGAAAGTCCGAAGCCACAGCACAGAGCCATTACCAAAGTTGGACAACAAGGAAAGAGGCCACTATGGGGCGTCTTCCTCCAGAGAGCCTGTCAAAGCTCAGGAATGGGATGGAACACCAGGGCCACCTGTGGTCACCAGTAGAATGGGAAGATGCTCTGTGAGCCCCACCTTGTTGGCAGGAAACCACAGTTCAGGTAAGAGGGACTATGATCTCCCACACGGTAATTCCTCCTGTCTCTAGAAACTACTTTCATGCGGTATCACTTACAGAATTATTACCACAGATATCTCTGTCTCCACTCAGACAGGCAACACAAGTAGCCATTTGCATAGGTTACGTAAAGGGACATAACAATAGATGGTACCATGCGATGGTACAACTATTCACAGAGACGGTAGATACCTGAACGGTGCTTCTTGGAGCTGTGCAAGACAGGAGCTCTGACAACTTTGAACAATTTTGTACTAAATTTCTTCAAAAATATCTAAAGGCCTCATCTAAAGCAGTTTTAACTTGTGAAGTTTGAGTAATTTATAATTTATACTTCTTTTGCTTCAAAAAATATTTTAAGCAACTGATAAAAAATGAACTCAAAGTAAAATTGAGAACAGAAATGTAATGAAGATAATCTGAAGGCAGTAAAGAAAGTAGATATCAGGAGGCATCTGAAATGGTGAGCTGAAGATGATAACTGGGCATCAGGAATAGTACTAAATTCCCAAATCTAAGTCAAAGGAAATTTAAAAGTTTTAATCTAATGTACTTTTAAATGTCACAAGTTAAGATTAAAATCTGCAATGATATTTTACATGGTTAACGGTAGATATTATTAAATATCCACTTTTTAAAAAACAGCATATGTTTCTTTTGAACTTATTAATCTATGTGTTGGACTCACAGAGAGTTGGCAATTGAAATAAACAACAAATAATCAAGGAGCCTCCTGTAGTTTCAGGTTTCTATTTCTTAAGAGTGTTGGAGTTCCAGAGAAAAGACCCATCCTTTAATATTCTTTTCAGCTCTGATACTCATCTTAGAAAGCAATTTACATGAATTGTGGTCTCTCAGACAGTCATGCACAAGTTAAAATTGGAACAGGAAGAATGCTCTCTGCAATTGCTGATGGATCTTCCTGGGACAATAACCAGGCAGGAGCAAAGTACTAGCTTCCCCAGACTTCACATGTAACTTGAAGCTTTGGTGGTAGAGTCATAACACGTCTATGGATAACCAGCTCTAAAGCATGAGTTAAAATTTGGCTGAAGGAACACCATATGAATTTAATAGACATTTCAAAATATATTTTTGATAGTGAAGTATAAATTGCTATTGGTTTATCAGAAGAAGATGTTTTTGCATTTTGTCACAAAGAAAAAGAAAGAGAGAGAATAGCTTTTTTATGGGAAAAATGTCACTTCCCCAAAAAACTTTGACATTACTATTTAATTGGGTCCTATGATTGGTTTGAGACTCATTAGTAGTTTTTAAATAACTGTCAAAATTTGTACCAGTTCTATTCGAAACATGTGAACAATATATACTTCTATTGTGGCTAGATATACATTTTATAAAAGCTAGAAGTATTCTCTGGGTTTCTATTATGTCATGGTTACTGTTCTATGATCTGAGAGTACAATGACAAAAAAGGTATGCTTACATTTAAGTTCTCAAAGTCAAGAGCAAGGCAGAAAAATAGATAACTGCACTATACTGTGTGTTTCTGTCAAGGTTCTCTAGAGAAACAAAAGCAATAAGACATAGAGAGAGAGGGGAGGGGAAAGAGAGAGGTTTATGATGAGGGATTGGTTCCAATAATTATGGAGGCTGAAAGTCTCATTATCTGCTTTCTGCAAGCTGTACGTTCAGGAAAGAAAATGGTAGAGTTCTATTCCAAGCTCAAACGCCTGAGAACTAGGTGAGTCAATGGTGTAAGTCCCAATCTGAGTCAAAAATTCCAAAAGCCAGAATGCAGATGTCCAAGTGCAAGAGAAGACAGATGTACAAGCTCAAGAAGAGATAGTAGATTTGCCCTTTATTCTCCTTTCCATTATATTCAAATCCTCAACAAATTGGATGACGCCCACCGACCTTGGTAAGGATGATTTTCTTTACATAGCCTACTGATTCAGATACTAGTCTCTTCCAGAAACACCCTTACAAATACACCCAGAAATAATGTTTTACCAGCTATCTGGGCATTCCATAACCCAGTGAAGTTGACACATAAAATCACACGTGTTACATAAAAATATGAATACTGTGGGAAACGGAAGATGTTTTAATTCATTCTGGGTTGCTGGGAACACGAGGCTGGGTAATTTATAAAGAGAATACATGAGGCTGGGTAATTTATAAAGAAAAAGAGGTATATTTGGCTTACGGTTCTGCAGGCTGGGAAGCTCAGGGAGCATGGAGCTGGTTTCTGTTCACCATGAGGTTAGAGATTCTGTGCTGGGTCAAAATGTGGTAGAAATTCCAAGGGGAACTGTATATGTGTGAAGAGGCAAAACTCGAGGGGCATCTGGCTTTATAAGAACCGACTTTCTCAAGAACCAGTCTAGGCTCAACAAAGTGAGAACTCACTAGCTCAACAACAGCAGCAAGCCGTTCATGAGGATTCACTCCCATGACCCAGACACGTCCCACTAGGCCCCACCTCCCAACATTGCTGCATTGGGGATGAGATTTCCACAGGAGTTTTGATGGGAACAAGCCATATCCAAATCACAGCTGAAGAGACATTTGTCAGTTCTTCCTGGGACAGTGTGATTTTAGCAGCAATAATCGGGGGGAGGGGGTGGGGTTAGTGGATAAAACAATATTTGCTTGAAGAAGTAGTATGTGAGCTAGAACTTGAAACAAAGACTTGTTCACCAGGAAGATGAAGAAAAAACCTGCCTTCTAGATAAAAACCTAAAAGTCTGTGGGATGGAACAAAGCGTATTTGGAATAAAGGATGGGGAAGATTGAAGAAACTTCAAAGGCAGGTGGTGACAGGATAGCTAAAATCCTGTAGGGCCTTCTTATTAACTAGAAAGCCTTGCAGCTATGAAGTATAAATGATCAGAGGCTTAAGCAATAATAGCCTTTGTTTGTACCCATAACATCAAGCATGGAGGTAGTCAGTTCTAGGTGTTTTGCAGCTGCTCAGGTATGTCAAGGACCCAGGAGCTTTGTATCCTTTAATTCTTCTGTTCTGTTACCCTTGATGATTGTTTTTATGATGACAAAGCTGATGGACTGCACAGTTCTGAGCATCATACTTCAGAAAACTCTCATTTCATCTAATTGGTCAGAACTGGGAAACATCTTCTCTGGTCCAATCTCTGAGTGAAGGAGAATGGGGTTTCCATGGGCTTGCAGAGAACCATTTTTCTTCTTAATCAAGGGTCCTTTGCCTTCCTTCTGGAAGTGAACAGTCTATTAGCAGGAATAAAGGGGAAATTATGTTGTATATGGTGTCTGCCATGTTGTAATTAGGTTTTCAACTTTATGCGCTGAATATTTTGTAGTTATTTACTATTTTTTAAAGATAGGGATAATGTAATCCCATTGACATCATGGAACACCCAATGATGACTCTGTGGCTTTAAGTGTGGGTATTTGGGAAGTCATTTACTGAAGTAGAGACAGTCAATGTGAGATGTGAAGCAAGGCTTACGAGGGAAAGTCAGGACTTGTATGTTGCCTATGTTAGACTAAGTTAAGTTAGAAATGCTCTGGAACATCAAATTGAGAAGCCAGCAGATTGTTGGAATTATAGAACTGTAGCTAGAGAGATGTTGATTTGAGACCTAGACTAGACTCCTTTGGCATGGTTAAAATAGTAAGGCTTAATGAGTCTAAACAAGGAGAGCAGGAAACTCAGATGACACCCTGGGGAATCCAAATATTTCGCCGTGGGCAAAAGAAGAACCTGTGAGAGACATAGAGGTGAAACAGATAGTCCATAATTAAACTTTTTTGAACACGTAGTAAGTTACATATAAATTGATAAACATGTACTTTACGGTGTCTTTACACTTTGATATAAATATTCTAATAAATTCAGAGTGTAAACAGAATTTATACCATACTTTCACTTTCTTCCACATCAAAACCCTGAAGCAATCTCTTTTGGTTTACAGCATGTAAAATCTGCCCCCCTGAGTTTTTTAGCTCTGTTTGTAGAGCAGGAAATTGTCTACTGACCAGAAGAAATGACACACATATTTTTAGTCCCTCAGATTCTTTATCTTAGATTATGAAGGAGGTAGACAAAGATGAAAGAAGAAAGAAATTCTGCTAAGTTTTAAATAATAAGATGGTTGTATTTATATTAGGAAAAATACAAAACAGGGGCAAGTGTAGAGTTACATAGACAACATCAGCGCAAGCAGTGGCTTACGTGAAAGCAAAACTCAAACTAATGATACTATTACTGGAACTTCTAGTCTACCCTTCTAGTACATTTCAGGAAAGAAAAGAAGAAAGGGAAAAATGTTGCATGGTTAGCTTTTTATTTTTCTGAAGAGAAAGAACCTAAATGGTGCCAGTTCTGAACTAGAAAATGCCATAGTTCCACTGGCAAAAATGCATAGAGTATCTGAACTTCACACTCACCTTTTGCAGTTTTTTGTTTTGTTTTTTGAAGACAGAGTCTCGCTCTGTCGCCCAGGCTGGAGTGCAACCATCTCAGCTCACTGCAACCTCCACATCCCAGATTCAAGCAATTCTCTTGCCTCAGCCTCCCAAGTAGCTGGGATGACAGATGCCCGCTATCGTGCCTGGCTAATTTTTGTATTTTTTGTGGAGATGGAGTTTCACCACATTGGCCAGGCTGGTCTCGAACTCCTGACCTCAGGTGATCCACCTGCCTAAGCTGCCTCCCAAAGTGCTGGGATTATAGGTGTGAGCCACCACACCGGCCAACTTCGGTGTTTTAAACAAACTATGCATTACTTGAATACTCATCAGTGAGCTAGTCTTTGTCCGAAATAAGCAAATAGCTACATGAAGAGGGCATTTGAGACTTTCTGTTTTGGAACAGAAGACAATGAATCAGTATTAACTGTTTCTCATTCTCCTCTTTACGCTTCCTCATCATTATTATCTCCTTCCCCCTAATTACTCAACTCCATACCGTATACTAGAGAGTAAAGAGATTTTACTTATAAACTCCTCCTTCCTCTGTCAACTTTCTGCTTCTACCTC